TAAAATGGGCATATCTATCTTCAGCACCCTTGTGCACACCACTGAGTATGTGTGTTTTTATCTTTAAGGAAAGTGACATCACAAATACAGTAAAGGAATTTCTATTTTAACAACCAGAACTTTACTATAGCATATGTGTGCCACTGCTCTCTGCTGGATGGGATCAGAATGCTCAGCTGTGTGTCATGAGTCATATACTGGCAACAGTTAAAGGAGATTTTCCTTTACTTTATCTGGTTGGGGATTGTGCTTCTGGAACAAGAGGATCTGAGTCATATCCCAACTACTGCCACGTAATTCTTGGTAGTCACTGTGACAACTATGAAGTCCAAGGTGATCATAGATTTGTTATAGTTACAATTTCACCAGTAATTTTTTTAACATTAAAAAGTTATTTTCGGACTGCTAAATATAATTAAAGCAGGGTGCAAGTTTTATCACTCTCAGTATAGGGCTCGCAGAATCACTGGTGTTTTTCAGTATTACACTGAATGCCAGAAGGCCCCCATACACCCATTTGAAATAAAAAACTTCAACTTGATATACAAATGAAAGTTTGTATGCACTAAGTGTATATCCCATCAGGTCAACCAGGGCGCTGCACTTAGTAAAATATGCGCCTCTTTTCTTTAAAGCAGACATGTGTATCAAATCAAATTTACACATTGAAGCAGAGAACTTATTCCATGCCAGATTCTGTATCAGCTTTGAATGCTTTCTATTTCCAAAAAGAATATATTTAAAAAAAAGACATTTGTACAGAATTCTGTTCCTGTCTAGGGAGCTGCTAGCCACAGACAAAAGAAGCTACAAAGTAGGCCATCTAACTTCTCTATAAAAGTGTCCATCACAATAAAACATTCAACACTTATTCATTGCTTTTCACATTCAAAGCACTTTACAAACCATTTAGTTAATCCGCACAACAGCTGCATGGAAGTATGTGTGAAACTAACTTGGCTGTCACTTGGGCAGATAAATCACATGATCCTGCCATATGCCATCTGAGCAGTAGCATAAGCATCACTCCTGATCCCAAGCAAAGCCTAGAGATGACTTATTCTAGCCCACTTATGAGGTGGTCCACAATTCTGGTCAGGAGGAGGGGTAATGTTCAGGCTCTCTTTTGATTGGGTTTGGCCTCCCACCACCACAGAGTATGGGAGATAGGTAGATCTCTTCCATGGGGTTTAAATATCAACTCACCATCTATGCAGATTAGAGATGAATTGGCAGGAACACACAAGCCCTTGTTGCACAATTCAATACGTCTTTGTGCAGTAATTGTGCAGAGCTGGGCCAGGTCTTGGAAATGAGCAGGCCTATTGGGTGAGTCTTGGGTTTTAGTGGACAGTTAGAATGCTCAGGATGTGAGTAATGAAAAGCGAGGAGGTGGGTGGCAGTTGCCTCTCCCCCCTTTTAGGGCTGCCAGGGCAGGATGGTGTGTCATGGCATCTTATTTTGTCATCTGAAGTTACGAAAAAGTTGTGGTCATTTGGCCAAACTTGCATCTATCCTCATTGGCATGTCCCATTTGCAAGAGTTCACCTCACTCTGTTCTGGTTGTTTCAGAAGTTATAGCTCGCTCCATCGATTGCTTGCTGTGGCTTCCCTTGTGTTTTGAAAACTGTTAAAATTAAAAGCTAACATTGTCAGAGTAAGAGGTTTCCTGTTCCTGCTTGCAAACTAATGGGTTCTAGAAGGAAGCATGCAATCTGGGTCTTGTGCAGCCAAGCCAGTCTAGAGCAAGGTGGGTTCAATTGTGACCCCCTGCTTTAAGGAGCAGCTGCTTTGTCTCTGTTTGGTTTTTGGTTAGTGTGCGTTAGGGTTCTGGATTTTAAGAAATAAAGTAGTATTTTGCAACTTTCCAGAAAGAGTATTTTATGTTTTTTATCTAACTTCTCTGTATGCTGTGAAACATAACACCTCTGAGTAGCAGTGGCTGAGAATGATAATCTAGAAAAGTTACTTTACCCACAATTTTGCAGGATATAATAATTATAATAATAATTAGTGGAGATATCCCATCTCCTAGAACTGGAAGGGACCTTGAAAGGTCATCGAGTCCAGCCCCCTGCCTTCACTAGCAGGACCAAGTACTGATTTTGCCCCAAATTGCCCCCTCAAGGACTGAACTCACAACCCTGGGTTTAAGAGGCCAATGCTCAAACCACTGAGCTATCCCTCCCCCCAAAATTAATGGAGATATCCTATCTCCTAGAACTGGAAGGGACCTTGAAAGGTCATTGAGTCCAGCCCCCTGCCTTCACTAGGCAGAACCAAGTACCAATTTTGCCCTAGATCCCTAAGTGGCCCCCTCAAGGATTGAACTCACAACCCTGGGTTTAGCAGGCCAATGCTCAAACCACTGAGCTATTCCACCCCCCCCAATAGCCTGTGCTATTCACTGTATGAACCTCTTATTACCAGTGAACATACAGGTAATATTTGTGTAAATCAATGCTAGCCACACCACAGGGAGCATCTAGGAAATGATCTCATTATTTTTACAGGACCATGAGAACTATTATGAGAAGGTTAAATGGAATGTACACTGCTGACCCAAACAAAGAGGCGGTGCTAAATGTTCCCTACTAAATAACTAATTTCTTTTGAAGCCTAACCACCCTAACTCCATTGTACTACACCTAGGGTGACCAGATGTCCTGATACTATATGGACAGTCCCGATTTTTGGGTCTTTTTCTTATATAGGCTCCTATTACCCCCCCACACCCTGTCCCGATTTTTCACATTTGCTGTCTGGTCACCCTAACTACACCTTGGTATTAGGTTTTGAAGGGAATGGAATCTACATCTGCACATTTTTCCCAAGCTGACTCATGCAGTACTTTAAAATTGTCCTCCTACAGAAATCACCTGGAGCAAAATTATCGTTGCAAGTGAAAATTCCATTGCAAGGAGCAAAGCCAAACATCAACACTATTATGCGATCAGGCACTTGAACTGCAAATTACCTTTTCTCAAAAGCATAATATTCAATGCCCCCCCCCTTTTTTTTTTCAAAAAAAAAAGATTATTTTCATGTGGAAAATTCATTATATTTTAATCTCATAAAAATAATCTATAAAACCTGCTTGAATCATACAGCATGATGTGTGATCAAAAGAGTCAAAGGCCTTGAGGGATTATTTTTTTTTGGCTTTTCATGAAGCATTAATACAAAATGAAGTATTTCCAAACCCCAAATCATTGAAGGAAATGGAGTGCACTTCCCAGCAGGCTTTTCACCCTTTTCTGGACGTACCTTATTTTCAGTATTAATGGTAAACACAGTGTCTTTTTGGTCCAGAAGTTTACAAGAATATGCAATATTGACTGCTGTTTCCTGCTTGTCTCCAGTCAGCACCCAGATTTGTATCCCAGCCTCTCGGAGAGCTGCAATCGTATCGGGCACTCCGTCTTGCAGCCGATCTTCAATCCCTGTTGCTCCTAGTAAAAGGGGAAGATGAGAAGTGAGCCAATTCATTTCCCTTTGAAAGCTGTGGTGAGATGGTTTAAAAAAAAAAAAAGATATCAGGAATCTTTGATTCTAAATAAATAAATAAAGATCCAGCATGTATCAACAGCTAAGCCAATGCTACCGTCCAGTGGTTGATATAGACTTCAAAAGGCATAAAATTAAGCCTGCATTGAGGGGAAAATCTTTATGTAGATTCCCTATATTTTTGCATTATCTTAAGCCTCACATCAGTCTTGTAGGGAATATATGGATGAATACTGAACAGTTCTAAGTGATTAACACATACAAAAATCTGCATTTAGATTGAGATTTAAAAAAAGAAACATAAAACAGCAATCAATGACTAGTGACCATTCATTTTACTTGGCACTGCAGTGACTCATTTCATTTCTTTTGAATACTCCAAAATGACAATGTACTGGCCAAGGAATATACTACGTGCATTTTTTAAAAAGTATGGTATCAGTTCCCATCACAGCATGCAATTCTACACTGAATCTTGGCTGTTTAATTGAAAGACACTCTACTGGCAAGTCAGATGCTTCTTCCATCAAAGGAATGAGATAGGACACAACAAATGTCCTCTTTGGAAATGTGAAAACTTAGGTGAAGAAGCCAATACTTATACTGAAGGTAAATCACCAGATGAAAGAGTGATAAACAGTCATCTCTTATCTCTTCCACTAGAGGCCACTTTGAAGTTGCTGTAACAGTGATACCATACATTAAAGATCAGTATTACTTAAAGCAGAAAAGGATACTTCTCTGAGGAAAATTAAGTAGGAGTGCATACAGAGGGTTTGTAGTTGGCAAAGGTGAGAGATTCTGACAGCTACACTAGCTCACCTACAGCTCTGTTTACAGTATTTACTGTTATTATCCTAATTTTTACAAATATCATTGCAGAGATTATGAAGAGCCATAATAACAACAGGCTGCAATTATATAGATCAGGATGACAAAGGGCTGAACATACGGCACATAGGTAAATAGGTTAAACCTGGGCTCCTTTGAAAAGCTAAGCCTAAAAAAGCAAAACATTTGGACTCAAGATAGAGAACATTAAACTACTCTCATTTTTATGAAATCATGATGCTTCGATCCTATAGCGATGGGTGCCATAAAGTACCAAGATGGATAACTTTTTGCATGATGTACTGTAGTTTTTTCAAAGTGGAGAAAACTAACAGCAGAACACAGATAAATCATAAACCCATTGGTAAGCACGTGTGTGCATGTGTATACAGAAAGAATGCATATGCACACAAACCTTAGGTACCAATATAAAACACTGTGCACCAACATTAGTGCTCTGGACACAGCTTATACATATAAAAATATTTGCCCTTGGAAGCTGCATCCAGCACTAAAGAGTTTGATATTTGTACCAAAGAATTGCAAAGGGCCACAGCAAGACCTTTTAATATAAATTCGTCGAAGTCATTGTTTCTTTGGTTACCAAGAACATCACTTGAAAGCAAGCAATGTTTCACTCAGTAACAAGTCTTTATTTTTAGCTACCTAGCAAGGTGAGTTTGGTCTCCAGATGCTGTGCTGTGTCCATTAGCAGCTCATCTCTGTTGTCAATCGCTGCCTCTGCCTCACGACGAAAATTGGCCCATTTCCGAAAGTCATCTTCACTCAAAACCTGTGCAACAGGGATACAGGTATGCCTTATATTCAGATTTAGGTAGAGCAGTTGCTCAAACTGTGTGTAGTCTGTGGCACACCGTAGTGCAACACAACCCTTTCCTGGTGGTTCACAGAATGAAACAGAGCCAGGAATCAAGCAGTGGGGAAGAATTGGGGAGTTGTGAGAGGAAAGGTGTCCATGAGAGGAGCACTGTCTCAGCGAAGTAGTATGGATGCGTAATGGAAAGTTTGCACAGGCAGAGTATTGTTCAGGTAGAATACCGAGTAATAGATTTTTTAGAGAATCCTCGGCTACAATTATGTTTTAAAAATAACTTCTTTCTTTGCATTTGAGTCTTATCCTGTAAATCACAATCTTGCATCTATTACTTCAGTCTATTGGTATAAAATATTTTGATGCAATAGTTTCAGCATTATGTCTTCCCCACTGCATCTAAGAAGAGCTCACCTTGTTCTAAACTGGGGAAATAGGGCAGCAATATTTTGGATCCCAGAGTGGTAATTACTACCCCAGAGTCCATTTGCCACATATCACATGACCTTTAACCTTACCCAACTGAAAGCTGCATGGACAAGTAGCAATGAGGAAAAACAGACCTGCCTTCTCAATTTGCATAAAATGGTATAGACAGCAGCTGTCTTCTCTTTAAGAGAGGCATGGCCTGGAAAGACAACTGGTCCCAGTGCTGCTCAGCAAGGACCAAGATAGAGCATTGCATGCTGGGACATGTTTCTGAAGGCTGGACTCCAGACCTCCATGGGCTGGATTTTACCCATAGGCTGAACTTTCATTAAAACCATCAGGATAAAGCACAACTGCTCCAAATTGAGTACAAGATGCTTGAAAGCTGAATGCCAAATAAAATTTAAAAGAACAGCTAATAAATTGTGATTCTGTTTGATCTTGCCTGGACTCACTAACTAGGAATGGATAGGGTAGACACAGGAGACAGATACTGCTGACCAATGAACCATCTAGATAAAAGATCTTGTCTCTGACAGTGACCAAATACTTCAGAAAAAAGTGTAAGATCAATTTGTCCGTAGGAAAAGTTCCCTTCTAATCCTAGGCAGTTAGGATTTGGCTTGTGGCTTTATGCATAAGGGTTTATAATTCTCACATTTCACAAGTCATAAATCTGTTCACATGTACAGGACATCGTTAACAAATAGCATTAGTCCGATTACTCCTTACCTTCTTAGCTATGCACAGGGTTCGCAGGCCATATCGTGCATACCAGTCCAGATGTTTCTGTGTTTTAGCATGTATTCTTCTCAGCTTCCTCCCCATATTAATGTCAGCTTTGAAAAATAAGCAGTCAGCTACTTATTTCTAGTACAGAGCATTCCTTACCCAACAGCCAAATTAATAATAATAATAAATAGGCAACACAGGAGCTGGTGTACTAACACAACAGCAGTCCCTTGCAAAGCCCATAAATATTAATTTGTGTTCCATAACCCCACAAGCATATGCTCAAGGATGGCATTTCTTGGTCTTCTTTATGTTACTGCTCCATTGCTGCCAAGTTAAAATACACTGGTCAGGGTTGTATGACAATATTATTGCGGAGTACCCCATCCAGTTAGTTTAGGCTGCCTGTGAATCCTAATTAGCCTTTTCCATATTTCAAGCCCTCTTCAGGTTAAACTAATACTTCTATTTTGATCTGCAGCAATAATACTATACTAAGGGACTTATTATTCCTGTATAATCCTAAAGCTTGGATATAGTATTGTATGCAGGAAGTAGTACTGTAAACTTCCCGTACTTATTAACAGACAACAGAACGATAATAGTTCACTAGCTGGTGCACTAATTACCTTTGGCAGGGTCTTCCAGTAAATCCATTATGACAGAGTCAGCTCCCTTGGTGTAGACAATTATCTCATTGGTAAAGGGGTGCCTCACCACCACAGACATCCTTTTCCTGACTGAGTCAAAACCCAAGGTGCAAAGTATGTCAAAGGTCAGGAGGGTACCTTGTGGCAACCTCACAGTTACCTGCTCAGGGGTCCTGGACATTAAAGTGAAACTGTAAGCGCAGGCGGCATGGACAAGGGCTGCCTCATCTGGGCTCTCAGCCTCGTAACAAAATTCTGGCTGCAAATGGCCTTGACTAACAGACCCAAACACCTCATCCAGGGAGGCGCCCCCCATCTCTGTGCTGCCTTTCCTGGGCATTGCATCTGCTCTATCATCACCATCGTAGTCACCATCTGTTGAGTTGGAGCAAGTGTGGGTGGAAATGTCATCTTTGTTACAGGAGTCTGTGGCAGCTGGATTCTCTTTACTGTTCTTTGCATTAACATTTGCTCCTAGGTCTGAACTGGACTGAGTCAATGAGAAAGATTGACCAAGGTTTGCTAATTTTAGCCGTTGGAGCAGCTGGTGAATCCTCTCCAAGGAGATCCCTGATGGTTTCATCAGTGGTGGCGCTGTAACCTTGAGACATGAGAAGACATTGGGAACATTACACCTGAAATTAAACAAGGTGAGCCACAAGAACATTTGCAAACTCCTAGGGCTGTGCTGTGCATCAAAGTAATGATTTTTAAAAAAACACACGGCTGTCCTTTTTCTAACTAATTATGTCAAGGGATTTTCAGGACAACAGTTAAGTTGGCTTCTAGATTCAATGGTGATCTATGGCAGAGAGAGAGTGGTGCCCTAAAAAGCTCACCAACTACCTGAGATAATTAAGCAAAGATTTTCAGTGAGAATCTTGTAGCATTCAAAATATTTCCTAAAGTAGAAGGGAATGCTGCAGACACTGAGGTAGCCATATTAATTTATCTTACTTAAGACTGGCAAGTTCTTAAGGGCCACCATGGTAGACAGGGAGATTTGTAGGTAGGGATAGAGAGGAATTATTTAATTTAAGAGCCAGTGCGGACACAAGACCAAAAAGAGATATAACTAGCCATCAACAAATTTAGGCTTGAAATAAGGCAAAGGTTTCTAACAATCAGAGGAGTGAAGTTCTGGAACAGCCTTCAAAGGGGAACAGTGCAGGCACAAAAGCTAACTGGATTCAAGACTGAGCTTGATATGTTTATGGAGGGGATGGTATGATGAGACTGCCTACAATGGCATGTAGCTGATCTGCGACTGCTAGAAGCAAATATATCCAATGGTTGGTGATGGGACACTAGATGGGGAGGGCTCTGAGTCACTACAAAGAATTCTTTCCCAGGTGTCTTGCTGGAGGTCTGACCACATGCTGAGGGTCTACCTCAGGGGTCAGCAACCTCTGGCACACAGCCCATCAGGGTAATCCACCTGCACCGCTTCCCACAGCTGCCATTGGCTGGGAACGGCAAACCATGGCCACTGGGAGCTGTGGGGGGCTGTGCCTGCGGATGATCAACGTAAACAAAATGTCCCATGGCCCACCAGTGGATTACCCTGATGGGCCGCATGCCAAAGGTTGCTGACCCCTGGTCTAACTGATGATCATATTTGGGTTGGGAAGGAATTTTCACCTGCCTTTGCAGCGTGGGGCACAGATCACTTTCAGGTTTAAACTAGTGTAAATGGTGGATTCTCTGTAACTTGAAGTCTTTAAACCATGATTTTTGGACTCCAGTAACTCAGCCAGGGGTTAGGAGTCTATTACAGGCATGGGTGAGATTCTGTGGCTTGCAATGTGCAGGAGGTCAGACTAGATGTTCATTATGGGCCCTTAATGGTTGAATAGCAGTCATTGGAGTTATTGCAGACAGAAGATAGAAAACCATATGGCAATTCCAAAACAGTGCTTTTTTACTACTGCAGATAGCTTTCAATTTTAGTATACAGATTTTAAGCAAATCAATTCTCCTTATGTATTTAAAGTGAGATTACCCTTTGCCTTGGCTCCGTTGCTGTGGAGACCACAACAGTATTACAGATAGCCAGTGCAAGAAAAAAGTCAGTAACGGACGTGGTAGAGCAGGTGTCCTTTGCAGATGGAAAGGATGCCAAAGACTCTATCTGGAGTGCAGCATCTCTCACTTTCATCAACAGCCTGTTATCAGGGGTCACATCCTTTTCCTGGAAGAGAAGTTATTCAGTAAGGACCACATTTGGGATTGTGTACGACCTGCACCTTAGGTTTTCTAGAGCCTTCAAGGAAATGCTTGTACAGTATTATATACTCTAATGTACCCAGCATATAGAAAAAAAGATAGAATTCCCACTGTTGCATAAATAGATGGTCAAGGTCACCCATAATCACTAATGAAATCTTCAGGGATCTTCCTGAAGAAGAAAAGATTCTCTATCTCGGAGACTGTGCAATGAGGTGCTCAGATATGATGATGATGGAGGGTAGAATAAGAGCCTAAATAGAACAAAATAGAAAAGTGGTCACTTCGCTGGGCTTGCAAAAAGTGCAAGTCAGACCAGAATCTGAACCTAGATCATTAAAATTCATGTTATACAATCTGCACTATGGCCCTAAACCCATACCCAGACCTAAATGGGCAGATCCTTGAAACCGCTGATCACTGAGTTAAATGGAATGCTTAACAGGGACAAGTGACCACCCAATGAATTCAGGGCCTATGTTTAATTTTTGCTCTTCACTCTGTATGGACAATTTCACATCTTGTTCTCAATACCATAATGTCATTTCCAAAAAAATTAAAGAAATCAATCACACCCCTCAAAGTGTTTTCACTGATTTTTTTTAAAGAGATCATTAATTCCTGTGACATGGTATTGTAATCCCTAGGCCCCACTTGATTTTTAATACATTTGAATTTAGTTTAGGCCATATTTAATAAGATCTTCCAGTTTTAAAATACAAGCCTCTGTAGGAGCCAAGGCTTTTAGATTTCTTCTTTAAACTACTGCCAAAACAATTTAGCTTCCTTCTCAGTTCATCTCTGCCACTGCCCTCTCCTCCTTCAATCTGGCACAATTATTATGAAGTTCCCTAGTATGCAACAACAATAAATCAATAACCTTCAGGGCTGTGTTGTGCTGAGCTAAATGTGTTACATTTTAACTCCCGCTTGCTAAAATGAATAGAGATTCTTAAATGACCTAATAATTGAAAATTGAAAAATAAAATATATCGCTAATTATACTGGACATATGCATTAAGCTCTCAGCTACAGTAGACCCTCTTGTGCCTCTGAGGTTGCTGATTTAAACTAACATTCCTTTGAAATAAGTGAAAGATTTAGACACACCAAGTACGTTCAGCAGCAAAGAAAGTGCATTTGTGTTTACTGGCTGCTACAGCATCACACAGTGGAAAAAAACACAACCTGAGGTTCCCTATTACTTGCATAATTTCAATGAAAAAACACAAATTGTACATACAAAATCCCCAAAACCAAAGCAAATTTTTCAAGGATCCTAATATAGTAACTATTAATTACTGATTACTGAACATCTAGCTATTTATTCTGTATCTGTGCTCTTTTTATCAAATCCAGGAAGGTACACTCATGCAAGCAGCAAAGCACAATAACATACACCTCTCTCTTGCTCCTGTCCATCATCCATCCATCCAGTTTCTACTGCATCTATATCATTAGTATCCAGTACTGTAGCACCATGCAGCAGATGAAGAATTATTTAATATCAGGTATGCTACTTGTGCAGAAACTTTCTGTACTATATTTCTCTGCATATTACAATTATTGAATGTTGAGGGGACACTGTCAGGTTTGAAAAGCTAGATAGTGCACAACTGAAGCTTAGAAGAAAAGTTTTCATTATCTTAAAAAATGAAAACAGATGTTGGCTTGGATTTATATGTTTCCATGTAGCTGGATGGTAATGTATAAGAGACAGATAGTGAAACTGACACATCTATTTTCACTGACCAAGCTGAGTGAAATGCAAAAATTAAACAATCAGCATTAAGAATGAAAAATCAATTAAAATTTAAAAATCCCTCCATTGTTAGTAGGCTAGTTCAATATTTATAAAATGGGTAAGACCATTTAAGTTTTAAAGGGTAATTTATTAATAGTTTTCATTTGAGTGTCCCTTTCAATGAATCCAAAATTAAAAATAAGTTATTGACTTTAAAAGACGTTAACTATGAAAACTGCCAGTCTTCAAGAAATATTTCTAATAATAGTGATATTTATAAGACATGCAATAGCAGACTTATTAAATCTAGATCAAGAATGCTGTAAGAACCTTAATTTAAAACTCATAGCAAAGGGAATATGGACAGTGATAATCCTCTTTCTATCTTTTTCCATAATTTATTCCTTTTCATATTGTAAGGTTTCTCCTTCCATTCTTCTATAGTACAAGGAAGTCCATCCCAGGGTCTATTTTTTATTTTGTAGCACATGATTTGATGCAGACTTTTTCGCATGGAGAAGTTGCAGCAGCAGCAGCAGGAGACAAAATTAATAAAATAAATTGGCGATCTCTCCACTTGAGACACAAATAGAAACCATGAAGCTGGCCAACATAAGGGAACATTTGTCGGTCCCAGCATGAAATGGGTAATTCTGATTGGGCTGCAGGCTGTTTCTCAGTGAAGCTGGGTTTTGATGGATACAAAAAGAATTAGTTTTCATTTTCATCTGCGGCTTGAAGGAAAGAGAAATCTGATTTCTCGCCTATAAACGTCTCAATAGGATTGATCTTTCACCTTCCCCACCCCCGCCTCTCCATTTCCTCACTGAATCAGGGAGAAATTAATGACACAGAAAACATTCTATCTCTGTGGTTTTCTGAAATACAGCTTTTTTACCATTCTTTATTCCTTTCCCACCCATATGATCTTAAGTTATGCAGAGTCAATACAAATTCCCTGGCACTGGTATAAACACTACAAACTTGACAGGTATTCTGAACTTTAAATAATCTCTCTCTTTCTTCTTGGGAATTGATTAGGTAGACCGATTTTCAACCTGGCTTTAACTCAACCTCTAATTTTGCAGGGGTAATTGTTAATGGCACCAGACACAGGTAGCTTAGTATACAATTGCGGTCATTTATGCTAAAACTTACTATGAGGTGAAAAACATGGGCACAAGTATTTGCAGGAGCACAAATAGAGGACACTACTGAAAAGTTAGACTATGCTGCCTCTTGCATCATATCTTTGTAATTTCTATTCCAGAATGGACCACACAGTGCTGCTTATATTCTTCTCCAGGATCAGCAGACTCCATTTTCATTAACTCTATCAAATGCCACGAAAGAAACAACATCATCATCTGTTTCCTTCTCAGGATTACACTGACAGCAACATATTAAATGATGAAACCATCTCATATTTCAACAAAACAGCAAAACCTGTCAAGCATAGATGCACTCACAAAACATTCAAGCTTGGATAATTCTTGTAGCCACCTAGCTCCATAATCCTAAAACCTCTCAAGATATAGCGATAAAGTGTAAAACCCATACAAGAGGCATTAGGAAATGTCTGGGAACCCAACTGGGTTTGCGGAGGAGGCAGCCAAGCTAATGGCTGGCACCTCCTTGTGGCGGATGTCCAGTGCAGGTACTCCATAGGGAAGGTATACAGTGACCGGATAATGGGTTGGAAAAGGACTTAAAAAGAGGTGTCAATAAAGGAGCGAATGGGGGATGGTTTGGGACCCCTATGATTGATACGGCAGGGAGCTAACCCCCATTATTATAGTCCACCTTAACCCTCCTATGAGGTGGTGGTGAAAGGTAAGGTCCTGTCAATGGATTTGCTTGAGTGACCTGGGTGGAAAAAGAGGGGGAGCTGGTAAAAAGCCCCCTTGGTAATTATGAAATAAATATGGGGTTACCTGCACTGCACACTTTTATCTGCCAGGTAGTCCCAGACATCTAATAATAAAGGTGAGGCCTGATTAAACCCATGTCAAATATCTGCTGTCTTTCTTTCGGTATAGCCAGACAATAGAGTACTAACAGTATGAAAACATTTAAAAGTAACTAATGCAGACTGCTTATCACCGATTCATGTAAGACCACTTTCCAGTTGGCTTTGCAATCACAGTATAATAGAAGTGGTTGGAAACTTTTTGACAAAAACACTTTTTGTTGGAAAATGCTGATTCATTACAGAAATGCGTTGGTTATAATTAAACTTTGATCAGGAAGATGTTTTAGGTCCAGAAAGAACTGCTGATGAGTGAAAGAGACCCATTTGCCCCAGAATAGCCTATAGCAGGGGTCGCCAACTTGAGCCTGAGAAGGAGCCAGAATTTACCAATGTACATTACCAAAGAGCCACAGTAATACGTCAGCAGCCCCCCCATCAGCACCCCTCCTCCGGTCCCAGAGCCTCCTGACCACCGGCAGCCCCACCGATCAGCGCCTCCCGCTCCCTCCCCACACCTCCTGATCAGCTGTTTTGTGGCATGCAGGAGGCTTGGGGGGTGGAGGGAGAGGGGGAGAAGCGAGGGCATGGCAGGTTCAGGGAGGGGGTGGGAAGGGGAGGAGTGGGGGCAGGGTCTGTGGCAGAGCCAGGGGTTGAGCAGTGAGCATCCCCCGGCACATTGGAAAGTTGGCGCCTGTAGCTCCAGCCCCAGAGTCGGTGCCTATACAAGGAGCCGCATATTAACTTCTGAAGAGCTGCAAGTGGCTCTGGAGTCAACCCCTGGCCTATAGTCTGTTGGAGAGTGCCAACAGAAACAGTCTCTCTCTCTCTCTCTGAGAGGGACACTAGCTCTACAGCCAGATGGTGAGAGCACTCACTTGTGATGTGGGAGACCCAGGTTCAAGTCAATGGTACAAATCCAGGCAGATGAGGAATTTGAACCTGGGTCTCCTGCTTCCCAGGTGAGTACCCCAACCAGTGGGCTGTTTTTCTCATGAAACAATTTAAAAGGTCTTTGCTTTGTCCTGCATCAAAATGGAAACAATATTAAAACCTTGACATTTTCTGCAAAATTGAATTGGTGTTTTCCAGCCAGTCCTACCACACAGAGAACATTGTTTAAACAAACAAACAAAAAAAAGGAACTCTTTATACTTCCTTTTGGTTCCACACCTATTTGGCATTTACAGAAGATTCTCTCTTGTTCAGCACTATTACTTTCCATTAAAACTCAGCAAATTCCGTAGCATACTATTATATTAACAGCTCTCCTACTTTAACACTTCTCTTGGCAACAGTCCCACCAGGCGGGTGCTCACAGCAGATGCTGTGCTAACCTGTATCCAAAAACCACTCTTCTCAGCATTGCAAAGATTGCAAATTTTCCTTTTATCTGGGGCAACCAGTTTTCATAGCTGGTACAACACTTGGAAACTTGGCATTTAGAAGACCAAAAAAAAAAAAAGGAAAATCCCAGCTTGCGGCCCTTTGGACACTCCTGTCTATTATATAGAGAAGAATTTTTTTCTTGCCCTTTGTCTGTTTGATACAAAAATTCAGGAAAATGTACATAGAGAATCCAAAGTCTAAAAACATAAGAATGGCCAATGGTTCATCTAACCCAGTATTCTGACTTCTGACAGTGGCCAATGCCAGATGCTTCAGAGGGAGTGAACAGAACAGGCAATCATTGAGTGATCTGTCCCGTCATCCACTCCCAGCTTCTATGCAGTCAGAGGCTAGGGACATCCAGAGCATGAGGTTGCATCCCTACCATTTTTGGGTATAGCCATTGATGGACCTATCCTCCTTGAATGTATCTAGTTCTTGTTTGAACCACGTTATAATTTTGGCCTTCACAACATCATCGGGCAATGAGATCAACAGGTTGACTGTGCATTGTGTGAAGAAGTACTTCCTTATGGTTGTTTTAGACCTGTTGCCTATTAATTTCACTGGGTGACCCCTGGTTCTTGTGTTATGTGAAGGAGTAAATAACATTTTTTAATTCTCTTTCTCCACACCTGTCATGATTTTATAAACCTCTATCATATCCCCTCTTAGTCATCCCCTTTCTAAGTTGAAAATTCCCAGTCTTTTTAATCTCTCCTCATATGGAATCTGTTCCATACCCTTAATCATTTTTGTTGCCTTCTCTGTTCCTTTTCCAATTCTAATATATCTTTTTTGAGATGGGGTGACCAGAACCGCATGCAGTATTCAAGATGTGGGCGTACCATGGATTTATATAGTAGCATTATGATATTTTCTGTCTTTCCCAATGATTCCTAACATTGTTAGCTTTTTTGACTGCTACTGCACATTGAGTAGATATTTTCAGAGAACTATTCACAATGACTCCATGATCACTTTCTTGCGTGGTAACAGCTAAATTAGACCTCATCATTTTGTATATGTAGTTGGGATTTTGTTTTCCAGTGTGCATTACTTTGCATTTATCCACATTGAATTTCATCTGCCATTTTGTTGCCCAGTCACCCAGTTTTGTGAGATCCCTTTGTAACTCTTTGTACTCAGCTTTGGATTTAACTATCTTGAGTAATTTTGTATCATCTGCACATTTTACCCCTTTTTCCAGATCATTTATGAATATGTTGAACAGCACTACTCGCAGTACAAATCCATGGGTGACCCCATTATTCAGCTCTCTCCATTCTGAAAACTGACCATTTATTCCTACTCTTTGTTTTCTATATTTTAACCAGTTACTGACCCATGAGAGGACCTTCCCTGTTATCCCAGGCTCTTAAGTAAACTAAGCAGTCATAAGTGTGGGACCTTGTCAAAGGCTTTCTGAAAGTCCACTATATCCGCTGGATCACCCTTGTCCTCATACCTGTTGACTCCCTCAAAGAATTCTATTAGGTTGGTGAGGCATGATTTCCATTTCAAAAGCCGGCTTGACTCTTCCTCAAAATATTATGTTCATCTATGTCAGGGGTGGCCAACCTGTGGCTCCTAAGCCACATGTGGCTCTTCAGAAGTTAATATGCGGCTCCTTATATAGGCACTGACTCCGCGGCTGGAGCTACAGGCGCCAACTTTCCAATGTGCCGGGGGGTGCTCACTGTTCAACCCCTGGCTCTGCCACAGGCCCTGCCCCCACTCCACCCCTTTGTGCCCCCTCCCCGAGCCTGCCATGCCCTCGCTCCTCCCCCTCCCCGCCAAGCCTCCTGCATGCCACAAAACAGCTAATTGGGAGGTGTGGGGAGGGAGCGGGAGGCGCTGATCGGCGGGGCTGCCGGTGATCAGGAGGCTCTGGTCGAGGAGGGGGGTGCTGATGGGGGGGCTGCTGATGTATTACTGTGGCTCTTTGGCAATGTACATTGGTAAATTCTGGCTCCTTCTCAGGCTCAGGTTGGCCACCCCTGTTCTATGCGTCTGATAATTTTGTTCTTTACTACAGTTTCAACCAATTGACTTGGTATTGAAGTTAGGTTTACCGGCCTGTAAGTGCCAGGATCGCCTATTGAGTCTTTTTAAAAAAATGTTATTATATATTAGTTATCCTCCAGTCATTTGGCTTAGAGGCTGATTTAAGTGATAGGTTACATACTACAGTTAGTAGTTCTGCAATTTCATATTTGAGTTTCTTCAGAGCTCTTGGGTGAATACCATCTGGTCCTGGTGGCTGTTTAATTATTCAATTTGTTCCAAAACCTCCTCTACGACACCTCAATCTGGGACAGTTCCTCAGATCTGTCACATAAAAAGAGTGGCTCAGGCATGGGAATCTTCCTCACATCCTTTTCAATAAACACCCATGCAAATAATTCATTTAGCTTCTCTGCAATGGTCTTGTCTTCCCTGAGTGCTCCTTTAGCACTCAGGGAAGTTGATTGTCCAGTTGCCCACCGACTGTTCAGCAGGCTTTCTGATTCTGATGCACTAAAAAAATTGCTGTTAGTTTTTTTGTCTTTTGCTAGTTGCTCTTCAAATTCTTTTTTTGGCCTGCCTAATTATATTTTTACACTTGACTTGCCAGAGTTTGTGCTCCTTTCTATTTTCCGCAGTAGGATTTGACTTCCAATTTTTAAAGCATGCCTTTTATTTTGCCTCTAACAGCCTCTTTTACTGTGCTGTTTAGCCATAGTGGCATTTTTTGGTCCTCTACCAGTATTTTTTTTTTAATTTGGGGTATACATTAATTTTACTCTCCATTATGGTGTTTTTAAGTAGTTTTCATTCAGCTATATTCACCTCTTGGACCAGAACCATTTACGACTAAATCGAGAATTGCCTCTCCACTTGTGGGTTCCAGGATTAGCTACTCCAAGAAGCAGGAAACCCTATTTCTAACTCAATTTGCAAAGTGAAGTGAGAAAAATTTTAACTCCCACCCTTAAAAAAATGCAAAAAAGAACTGGAGAGAGAGGCAAGAAGCTATAGATTCTGACTCAATTATTTTACAATAATAGGAAAAATAGTTGGGGAAAAATTCTCTTGAAGGAGACGTTTTACACACCTGAAATGTCATGATCCATAAAGCAAATAGATACAGAGAAGTTCTCAATGTACTATGTGGAAAAATGGGATGGAAGACAACAGACCAGCAAGCAATAAGATTATCATGAAATAAACAGATTCCAGAAGTTAACAGAGTACTAACTGATGTCCACTTCTACATAACAGAGATACTGAGTTAGCAAGGCAGAAGCTTGTAATAAATGCATTCATAAGCCTACATCCCACAAACAAAAGTCACTGGGAATCAGTGGGCATAAGAGATTGCCATCCGGAGCTTCTTTGCAGAACGAGGGCTTAGGGTTCGACCCCCTAAAGTGCTGAGCACTCTGGCTGAAATCCAGTAAAGTACTTGAGTGTGTGTGTGTAACAGAGCAGAGTGAAAAAGTAACAATATTTGGGAAAATTTTGTTCCTTTTCAAATTTCAAAAAAAAAATTAAAATCAAAATTCTGAATTTTGAAAATTTTCAACCAGCTGTACAACTGGTCACAAAAATGGGACAAAATTTTTACAAAAATTAGAACTGAAAACGTTGACCCATTTTTTCTGCTGAAGTTCTGACAAACTCATGGTGAAATTCTGCAAGTTTTCGATCAGCACTAGTATTTAATTTTAAGCATGTGCATAGTCCCATTGGTGTCAATGAGACTACTCGTGTACTTGAAATTAAGGATGTCCCTAAGTATTTTGCTGGATTGAGGCCAGAGTGCTCAGCATTTTGTAGGATTACAGCCTTATTTTGGAACTACATTTTATATAAAACTCAAATTTTATATTTTTAACTTTGTACTAAAAATCATACTAGGTTCACTGTATTTTATATGTAGTGAAGTGAGACCTGTCTTCTGACAGAATAACAAGATACTGGTAACTCTCCTGGTGGCTCAATTTGTCACTTTTCCATGATATAGTGTAACAGACTGAAATTCATCTGGGGTGACCATGTATAGCATTCTCCGGCAAGTAGCAGGTTATAGTTTCCTTGCTCCCAATCTAGTAAATGAGTGCTGTTTCATTGACTATTTTCTCCTTC